AACGGACATGATGACGCATTATGGTAAAATATAAGGTACTTTTTTTCGATCACCTTACTTTATCGCCGCGTCCTGTTTATAMGATATTTCGCCAACACTCAGCCAAGATAAGATTAAATTCCACGATATGTTCATGTAATTTTCTCTATACCCAATAGTTTTCATTGGCTAAAGTCGCATGACATTTCTTATAATTAAAATCACCTGTCTATTACTATGTTGTTTGTCAGTATCCTACAAGGGCGGATCCAGGGTTTTTTGAAGGGGGGGTCTCAGGGGTAAATTTTGTGGGCAAGGGAATCCCAGTGGCATTTTTACCACAGGAAGCCCATTTGACCTCAGGAATGACAGGGTGGTCGCGAACCCCCCGACCTCCCCCTGGATCCGCCCTTGTCCTATACTGACAGTAAAGTGTTTCCTTTGTTACGGACAAAGACGTTGAGTAATAAACATAATATGTTTATCATTCTAGTTCTAGTTGGATATTTTTTTGCCAAGTTTTCTTGTTCATGAACAGCAAAATTCACATGTATGTACCATAACTTGTGCAATGCTTTTGCTGGTGACACGAGTGAAAAACGTCTGCGCATGCTCTGAACCCGTATGCAAATTAGTCAAAACATAAGTAAATTTGACTTTCAAACATGCCTGATAAATTGGACTTCACAAAATGCCAAAACTTAGTGTCCATGCTTAAAACTTAAGGCTAATTCTTTCATACTTTCTTTTTCATACAATTTGAATTTTACAATTTTATTCTATTGTGTTTCTTGGTCTGACAAAAGTATACTCTCGAAGTATACTCTTTTTAGTTTACTTGGAGGAAAACAAACATTTATTTTCTCACTCAAACTCTTCAAAATTCYTAGAAAACGTGCTAAAATGTACGCATGCGCAAACGTGCCCTAACGGTGGATTGATGTATTGCTTCTATTCAGTATTCACTTGATACCAAATCACGATGCGATAGATACAGCGGCGACCCAATATTTAGCAAAATTGTATATCATTCTCTTGGTCAAAGAAGAGTCGGTGTGTTTTCATCTTGATCGGACAATTAGAATTCCGTCAATCAAAGGTACACCGATTAGACAAAGTGGGATAATGGGTTAGTGTAATCAAGGCAATTAGGTGTAATTTCTAACGATATAGGCCTGTTTTTGCTCTTTATGCAAAATGGATTTTTAAACCTATGTTGTCTTCKGAATTCAATCAGTTAGCAGCACATMKCGGTGGAACTGACATCCATTTGTACTCTGCAGCAMGTATAAATTGAGAAACCATTTTATACTTTCGGGAAAGGCAGCCATTTTGAAATGATACTACGAGGCGAAAATTCCACTTTGATGATAAAACTATGYCAGCTTGGTTTCAAGTACGATTTCAACTCAAGAATAGGGTTGATTTTGGTGAACAGTATCACAGGAGCATCAGCAATCGTTACTAACCTTCTTATTCTCATTGCCATCTGGCACACACCATCTTTACGAAAGCCATCGCACATCCTGATTGCAAATCTCGCTTTAGCAGATTTCTTAGTTGGTTCGGTTAGCCAGCCTTTGTTTATTTTACGAGACGTTTTTATACTGCAAGAGCGAGAGGAATTTTTTGATGTTATTTGCATTCTATCTAGCGTTGGTCGAGCGTTCAGTTACTGGCCTGGCACTGTTTCGTTATACACGCTTATCATAATCAGTATTGATCGAGTACTRGCGATCAAACTTAAAATGAGATATCACTCTATTGTAACTTCCAAGAAGCTTACAAAGGTTCTGTCATTTGGCTGGGYTTTTAAAGCAATAGTATATTTTCCTTTGTTTACGTTGTTGGACGCAAAATCCATTCTGATAATTGTTTCATTTGGAATGATGTCGTTCATGACCATCATTTGTTTATGCTACCTTAAAGCAGTAAAAGAACTGAGGAAAATCATGTCCCAAGTGTCTCAATCTGACAGAAACGCAACCTCCACAAGCACAACGCCAAGCTTCAATATCTTAAAATATCGACGATCTCTAAAGACAATATTGATCGTTTTTGCCACACTCATAATTTGCTGCTTCCCATATCTTGTTTCTACAGCCATTTTGGCGTCGAATTACGACGTAACAAGTAATTAYGTAACCTTTGTCCACTTTTCTGAAATCATAGTTTTTGCTAATTCTACGTTGAATMCTTTACTTTACTTTTGGCGTGTAAAAGAAATTCGTCAAGCAGCTAAAAAGATAGTTATATCGATGTTTGTAAGAGACCAAGACCATAAAACCACCGTGACAATAGATTCGGAATCCAGGCCACACACTGAATCAATGCCTTAGTCTTATTTGATGCTTCCTATCTAAGACTCCGTTTACACGGTACCGGACAAATTTTTAACCGTTCAAAAAGTTGTACGTTTGGAGGTTCCGTTCGCATGGAACTATGCTATTCCGCGGACAAAAATTCCTACGCCTAGCTAAATTTGGGACTTGCAAAATCGAGGTAGGATTTTTAACTTGCAGGGATAAAAAATGACACCTTATCTGGATGAATATTTAAACAGTAATCCTTAAGCAGCATGATTTGATGGAAAACAGCTAACAATATCATATCGACCCGGTTCCGTGTAAGAAGAATGTACTCGTCAACGAAACGTCCAATAAGAACATTGATGACCGACCATCATATCACGACATTATCAGGGACGGTTCCGGGTAAATGGTATGTACTGGTCACATTTTCGAACGGTTCGTACCGTGTATAAACGCAGCCCTGACAGTGAGCAAAATAAAAAATAAATAAATAAAATTTATAAAATTAATTAATAAATAAAATAAAAGAATTAAAAGAATAAAAAATTTTAAAAAAAAAAAAAAAAATGGTATTTAATTTTGAATTTTTTAAGAAATATAATTTTTTTAATAAAAAATTTTAAAAAAAATTGGTCAACAGCTTATTTGCTTTGGCATGAGATGAATTCTTGTCATACATGAGGCATGCAAAATTCCAAGCAAACATGCGCATCCCCACGTGGATTGGCTTGCGCATCACAAAATAATAAGACTACCTCACTACTTTTCTTTAGTTCACACTGAGAGCATAGAAACCATCTGCGAATAAATATTGAAGTTGTTTCCGAAAATCGATTTATTAAAGCCGTCCCCAGGAGAGTCTAATTTTATCGACTGAACAGAAAAAACATCTAGGGAAAGTTCGATGACCGATATTGACGGGTCGATCGAAATCTGCCAAAAGGAAATACTAGCTCAGAATCACTTATTTGGGCAAGACTTCTGCTTACTGATCATTACCAAGAAGGGTTGCAAAGGTTGAGACTTTTAACTAAAGCGCAAAAAGAATGAGACTGCGAGAAACAGAAGAAACCAGACTAACTTGAAAAACCTACATAATGAACCTCAGTCACGATGTCGATTGCGCAWATGAAATRAAYMAGTTAGCTAACCCAGCTCATCGTTTAGTAATGTCAACTATGTACTCTGGTGCAGCATTGATAACAACAGTCTTAAACTTTCTGATTCTAATCTCCATCTGGAAGACACCATCCCTTCACAAACCTTCCTACATCCTGATAGGAAACCTTGTTCTTTCTGATCTCCTGGTCGGTGCCATTGGAGAACCACTGATGGTCATTTATAATATCGCTGCCCTAAAAAGCTGGTCCTTGAAGAATTTTTGTCTAGTCTTAAAATGC